AAAAAGAAGTGATTGTATCAAAAGTGCTTTAAATGTCATTACAGTTATTATTTTAGCAATTTCTGTGTAGCTAATTTTTTTTTCGCAAAATTTAAGATCACATGGAAATAGGCTTATGTGTTGTTTTTTAAATATAATAATTTTCCTACATTTTTTTTACATATATAGATAGAGTACATTTGTCCTGAATCTACTGTCCCCCTCCAATGTAAATATGAAAATACTTTGCATTCACCATCATCAAGTTGTTGCTCAACAAGCAGTTGTTGAATTTCTGTCTGTTATATTTTAGGATCTCAGCTTTAAATTTAAAGATCATTAAGAGGACATATGTCAAGATTTGGCACAATATAAACAAATCAGAATTTAACTTAACTGTGTGTCTTGTATGTTGAAGATGCACTCGTCACTTTATTAGATACACCGACACGCGATCCAACACAACTGTTCTGCAACTATGGCAATCACGGTTTTCTTTCTGAAAATCTTTAATCAGTGATTTGTTTCAGCATTAACATTGTTCCTTAATGTGTTTTGCTGCTGTGTTGAATTCCAGAAGCCATGAGTGTGTGTGTATAGTGAATCAGATTAAATGGCCATTAGGTGTGAAATAAACGACCAAATGTTATCACTGAAGCCATGCAGGACGTGACTGAACGCCTTATGAAAGTAAATGATCTGTTTAAAACCTTTTCACTTTCTAAACACTATTTTCTATCACAATCTCAAATTGTGCTGCTACAGATTGCGAGTGACGCTGAGGTGCAGTTTTTAATGTAACCAAGAGTTGTTGACAAGCGACGAGCACATCAATATTACTATTACGTTGATGTTTATTGTGCGGTTTGGTAGAAGTGACTCATGACTGGTCCGGCTGACAGGCGGAGCATCGCCACTCTGGGAAAGACTGTGCAACTTTGCCCTCTTCATATAGTCTATCTGTCTGGTTTGACGACAAAAATCCCTGGAGTGAAGCCCCTCGAGCGTTGGGTGGAATTTAAAACAGGTGCTGCACAATTGGTTCCTCCGCAGCGGGGGGAGAAAGAAAAACAGCCACCCCTGCAGGAACAGAACTGACAGAACATCACATTCTCCAGCCAGCTGTGTCATCAGGGATAACATGCAGCATGCAATACAACATATCCAGCATAACCCACTGCTTTAAAAACAACGAGAAAAAAAAAAATGTACTCGTGGATTTGTTTCGACAGCTTTGGTATTTTTGATGCAAGACGAAGATGAGACTAATTCCTTGACACCTTGTGTGTTCTTCAAGTGGCGCTGCAACATCTGGCCTGGATTTATACATTGAAATTCTGGCTGGAGATTCAAAGTCAAGAGTTCTTTTTTTTTTTTTAATTGAATCCACTCCGAAGTCTGTGAGACTGAAATGCCTTCTGGCAAGAACCTTCAAATGCATACTCATGTTGCTTTGTCATGTGACCTCTTTGGTGGACTGAAATAGTTTTTCCCCTGTTCTTTTCTTTTCTCTTTTTTCTTTCCCTCCCGTGTCAGACTGATGTAGTCTTTTCACGTGGATGAATGAAGAGTGAAAAGGAACCTCTTTCAGCAGATCGGATTGTCTTGTCAAAAGTTAGCTTGAATAATTTAGAATCGCAGACGCAATAATTTATCATATCGACGTCTTTTTATAGACGTACTTGTGGTTTTCGGGTTGTCGGTGAATCTGTGAACGCTGCCTTCCCTTCCATCGGTCCAGCCCCGACCGTAGCGCATACCGGCTTACGGCACTAAAACCTACCGCTGTGTAACAATACACACATTCACATCCCACAGACAGCAAATTGCTTCTCTCATTCCCCCACCACGCCCTGCCTTCGTTCTCAGCCACCTGCAAAACAAACTGTGCTGGAAATTTCACTACAAATTACCCTGTGTCTGCCAAATCCCCCCGGGAGCGAAGGAAATCAAAACCCTGGATCTCCCTGCCCCCACTGAAACAGACCTTATCCTTCACTCACACACTAAATATCTCGACTGCATTTTGGCTTATATAATATGTTGGGGTTATTTTTCTATGACATTAATAAATCTGCTCTTTTTTTTCCCCCATTGAAATTTAAAGTTAATTTCAGAAAAGCATCATAAAACCCAAGCTGCTATCCTCACCCCCCCAAAAAAAGCAGATTTATTTAAAAATGCCTGACAGTGAAGAAAAGAAAGCATTTCAAAGTTTAGACAACACCAAATACCTCCACCGGCTCATTCCTCTGTGGGTTTCGAGTCGACATGACATTGTGAAACTAAGCCTCCATTCCTGCTAAGAAGGAGTGAAAACTGAGACCTGTTTCGCTTCATGGGAAAATCAAAGGAAGGCACATACCTTAGCAGTGAATAATGATCAACACCATAAAGCCAACTTCATTTTTTTGTGCATTGTTGGTGCCACAGTGCCTCCTGGTGACGGCCCAGGAACGTCAGGGATGGAGAGAGAGAGAGAGAGTGAGAGAGTGAGTCAATGGCCGATGTGCCAGAGAGATGAGTGTTGAAAGCTCCTTGGAAAAAGGATTAGGACTGTTTATGTTGGCCAAGTGGCCCGCTGCCAGCTGCTCAAGTGTGCAAACTTCTTAAAGCTGCAGAGCTTCGGGTTTGGCCATGAATCTTTTCACTCTATTTACCCTCCTCCCCAGACTGTATGGATGGTTGTGCTTTGTTCAAGGAGAGAAACCCTCCACTTCAGCCCCCGCCTCCGTGAAAGCATGCACTGCTGCTGCCGGATTCAGAACCAGGTTTCTTTTTCTGGGACGGCACCCACCTCCTCCTCCCTCCTCCTCCTCCCCCCTCCAGCAACACACCCATACGCACTCCAACATACAAACTCTGCTTCATATATTTCAGTGGTATTAAAAAAGTGTATCAACAGTGTGATAAGACTCAGCCTGCGAGCTGGCGGAGAGCCCGAGCCGTGTGGCCTGGAGCTGGATCACAGCACCAGGGTTCGTGAGCTGTCGTGATGAGAGGAGGGTCTCAGGTCACGGAATAATAAAAGGCAGCCTCAGCAGCAACACAGCTCAACTCCAACTTTTGTTCTTGAGCTGTAAAAAAAAAAACAAATCTTGTATTTCCCCTCACTCCCAGGCTACTGTTTGAAGTGGAGGACTCACACATGCATATTCAGAGGTTACAAGGAATTCATTTCTTACATATTCGCAAATCTTTCTGTTCTTTTTAAGCTGCAGTTAAAAATGTCTCTCAGGGTGTGTGTGTTTTTTTTTTTTTTTTGGCTCAGAGCGTGGGGTACAAATTGTTGCAGGTTCAGGCCCCATTACAGCGAGCATCCTACGGGCCACACACTGAATGTCTTATTGGTTTTTAGCTGTGCTGATCTGGTGCTGACTTTGTGCTTTGATTTCTGCACGGAGGGAGAAAGCAAAACACTTTGGAGCTTTAAAAATTCAGCCGGCTGCGTTATTGAGCGAAGTCATGCTTTATTCCTGCTGGATGTTTTTTTTGCCTAATTTATGCGTTCATTATTGATTTATAAATAAAACTAATTCATATTTAAAGCACTGATTGCAGCGTGGAGAAGTGTACAAATGATGTGGCCTTTCACTCATAAGGAATAAATCCTAGTGTTTAATTCTTTAGCAAATATTGTAAAATTCATTTCACGTTGCAGCTGTTCCTTGCAAACTGTGTTTTGTGTATATTTTAAAGTAAACACAAGGAGTAACTGTGTCCAAATTGGCAAACTAACAGAACCGCCTCATGTCTTTGGGACTGGCAGGAGATTTTATTACAAACTCCTGACTGACAGTTTAAGGTCCTATATGGAGCTTCTGATATATAAAGTTTGCCAGACTTGAATCACAGCAGAGTGTTCTGAGGTGGAGATTCAAGAGCCAGCACCCGAAAAAATGTGGAGCTAAACGGTCAGAGGTGCTGTGTGGTCCATCAGGATGACTTCTTCAAGTCATTGCTGCTCTGGATATGATGAGTACGATCTACGCATGGACTGGAGAACCCGGTGAAGTTTGAGAAGCCTCATGGTGTTAATTAATAACACCCTGGATACAGAGATGGTCCCGAAGTCCGACCACAAGGAGGAAGGAGGAGACTCACACCCTTATTGTGGAGGGCTTCCTGCTTTACACCTACAGACCTTTGATGCTGAACCAGCGCTACTTTATTTCCATCCCATGTGAAGAATGCAAAAAGAGGAGGTGCGATGGAACAACACGGTGCCAGAACCCCCGGCCTGTTTGATGGCCACGTCTGGCCCATGTTTTTGCGACACAAGAACTTATCAATACTTTGTTTGAAGAAGGAACAAAACAACAATACTTTCAGTGCTTGAGACTATGAGGTTACCACAAACAAGGAGGATGTTTTCGCCCTCCTAAACAAGCTGTGAAATCTGTTTTAATAGATTGGACGCCATGAGATACTTCTTCATAGGGACACTCTTCATCTGAAGGCAAGTGCTCATGCAGGGGTCTCCAATCCTGGTCCTCGAGGGCCACAATCCTGCATGTTTTAGATGTTTCCCTCTTCCAACACACCTGACCAGGACCAGGATTGGACACCCCTGTGCTAACGTTAGGAAATGAGCTGATAGAACACCTTCACATTTTACTGCTTGGAGAAGAAAGCCCTGCTCGTCTCGAATTGGTCTATTTTGTAAACCTTGTACATGGCTGCAGGCTAATTACTTACAGCAGAAGTAATTACAATGTAAAGTAATTAAATAATTCACGTCAAATTTCATATCATATAATCTTCCATCAGCTGTTCAGAAATGAGACTGTCTGACCTCCTCTGCTACATTTGTAAAGCTGCTGCCATCTTTTGGTGCGTTCAGGTACTGCAGCACATAAAACAATTTCTAAAATACACACAATGATCTAGAATTAATTAGAGAGTATTTTGTTGACTGTTTGCTGTCAATACAAAGCAGTGGATTGTGTATTTCTGTACATTTGTGAATTTTTGATCTTATAACATTTTGAGGGAAAACATCAGTCCTAAAACAAGACGCGTCAACATGTCAGAGAAAACTTTATAGAGACATTCATGCGTTAAAGTTTGTTTTCAACTTACAACATGCTGAACAGAAAGACTCAAAGTTTAACTTAGAATTTAGAAAACAAGTAGACAAAACACTTTTTTTTTTTCCGGTTTCACAAAAATGAAAACATTATTTCCAAGATTGAAAAGTGCACAAGTCACCCAAATTCACCACCTTTGCAATATAATGTCACTTCAGGTTTAAGGCACTTAATCAGGCACATAGTCAGGGAGTTTATAAATTAGTAAAATGCCACATTAAAATACATCATCTTGTATTATAAAGACAGCGCTGAAGATGTTAAATGAGCACATGCAACGTACCAAGATAAAGTATATTGCACCACATTATTAACTGTAAACACATTCACACGTTTGGCAACGTTTGTCCCAGAAAGCTGTGCAGCAACTAAACAACAACCAAACCGACACAAATGGTAGGATACAGCGAAAAGCACACAAGTAATACAGTTTAACCTCACACGGTTTTGGTAAAAAGGAACACAATGCATCTCTTTTTTTATCGGTTTTGGGGAAAAGTTCGAAAATATGTTGCTACGGATATGACAATCCTGACGCAAAGGCAGCTTGTGATACAAAACAAGACCACAGTGTAGATGTTTCTCTCCAGATAAATACACTTTCTGTTGAGGTGAGGAGGGTAAAGCTAAAACTAGACCTCAAATACAGTGAAGGCACATAGGGAACAGTCTCCAAAAGGAGTCGTAGTAATATAACAGGATCTGTATATTACAATTATGAGTTGATGTCCTGAACTGAGATAAAAACTACTTCACATTACCTTAAAGACAGTTCCTGACCGATCTGCCTCAACAATCACAGTTATGGCACAATAAAAGGTCAATGGTTAGACACGTGGCGCGTTATTGCACTGAGTTACAAATACTGATTGTCATCTACTTCCAGGATCACAAAGTCTTAAAAGACGATTCTGGTTTTCATGAGAGTCAAACTATCCTGGTTTCTGAAAACTCTCACTTCTTCCTGTACCGTGGTTTGTCCCTGAAGCATTGGAGGAGGAGCTAGATGACTGAAAAGCAGCATCTGTGGGTAAAACCGCTCCGTTATCTTTTGTTTTGAAGTAAATCACATAAAATAATGGCAGGACAATACCAATGAGGAGCATTGCAACGACAGCGTTCCACCACTGGATTCCCCAGTCTGCACCGTGACCTGTCGGGCGCTTTCCTCTGAAACCGAACCTTCGTGGTTTCTCAGAGTCATCCAGAGAATCCTCGTCTTGATCAGCCGTGGTCTGAATCAATTTGTCAATATCGTTATCCACCTCCATCAGAAAGTCTGTGACCTCCTGTAGATGTGGCTGGACTCTGGCCCTGTCCAGAGGTTTCACTGGTGTTGGAGATGAGTGTGGCATTTCTTCTTGAGGTTCACTCACGTCTGACAAAGTCTCTGATAAAAAGCTGTGCTTCTGAACCGGTATTTTAATAGATTTCAGTGCAAACAGATCTTGTTCTTGCATGAGGTTGTTCACCCGCTTTATATCCGCCACCTGTTGACACAAATAGGAATGAATGTCATGTCATGTCAGCGCTTAGTGAATAAATAAACTCTTTAGTAGCTATGAGAAGTCTGTACCTTGCAGCCATATTGCAGTGCAAGCTTGTTGAGATTATCGCCATCCACCACCTCCCGCTCCAGCAGCTGGACATTCCTCAGCCGGTCCTGCGTCTGATCTTGCGACGCTCGCGGCCTCATCTCCATGACGCTGAGCTCCTCATCGTCTGAGGATACAGAATACTCATTCGGCCTCCTCTTGAACATGTACACCTGGCCATCAGCGCTGGCGTGAACGTCCACGGGGGCCTGGAAAGCCCGCGGGCTATGCTCCCCTCTCCACATTATGAAACATCAACCTGTGAATGCCCCAGTGTCAACATTAAAGCAAGGATACAAGTAATATTTGCAAAACTATCACAGAATAATACCTTTAACAGTTGTACTTACTCGCACAAAAGATAGACACAGAAAACAAGTTGGGACATGTCTTCTAAAATAACTCATTTCAACAAAAAATGTGAATGTAAAATATACACGTTGAATGATTTTTTTTTTTTACTACAGATGAGACTCGATAATCTGCATACTTCTGCAAACACTGAGCACACTCGCTGCATGTGACGTTGTTTTGTGTGGGACACTTTTGGGTCATATGAAGTTCACACAGCAGATCACATACAAGTCGCATTTAAATGGAAATGTGAACGAACTCGCAAAAAAATCAGATTTCACAAAAAAATCCAAATTGAACATTAAGTCCTGCAGTGTGAACGTAGCCAATCTGTCGGATTGTTCAGTCAGATAATACGCTGTCATCCTTATTTGTGACATAAAATGTCATGTTGGAGTCAGAATCCAAGGCTGTCGGTATGTTAAGGCTGTTTTTAATGGGTTCCGTTTGTTTTTCCTAAAAACCTGTCAGATAGCAAGGTTTTCAGGTTGTTAAGGGTCAGATTATCGAGTCACGACTGTATATTTTGTCCGATGCACAAGTGAGAGCATGTTTAACAAGGTAATATCTTATCTTATACTTTTAAAATATTTTTAAAAAATGAATTGCAAAAAAATAATGTAAGAAGCCAACTGGGGATATTTCATTGTTCGATCTATTAGTTTTTACCCATAAATAATCATCTAAACCCATTACTCAACCACATCACCTGCAATTTTGCACAATAAATGTCACTAATATCACTTTATAACTGCACTACCTAATTACATTTCTGTGCATATACTGTTCATGCAATTTTTTTATATATATATTTATATTTATCCAACTGGTACACATTTTTCTTGTTTTTATTTATATTTATGTTCAGTCTGTCATTTGTATGTAAGGAGAAAACTCACTCACTGCAATTTCATTACACATTGAATAATGACAGGAAAAACAATTTGGATTTTGGTTTGGAAGAAATCAAGGAAATCAGCCAGAAATCAAAATCATCACTTAACATTTACACGCACCAAACTTTCTATTCCTGTCCAAATCTGGAAGGTTTCATATAGAGGAGTTTGTTCACATATACACTCATAGCCTGATTTTTTGAACATTTTATTCTTAAAAAAAAATTCTGGCAGTAATTTCTCATCCATGGAGTGATATAAAGACATAAACAAACTCTCTTTTGTAATAAATAAATAAAAATAAAAAACTTTGACACAAATATGTCAACAAACTGAAACAAAAAAAAAAACAAGCTGGCTTTATTTAATGTTCAGATTTGTGTTCTACGAATTAATGCACATTTTTACCAAATCTGGATTTAAAATAGCTCATTTGCAGATTTATAAAAAATGCAAAGTTATATTAACTTATATTTTAAGTATTTATTAAGTATACGAAAACAAACCTTTTCCCTTAACTAACAAAGTAGATAAGTTTCATTATGATATCTATAAAGTAAAAAATTTACCCTTGAATCTAAACCTTAAGTACAATTTATTACATAGAAAGTATATATATTATTGTTATTCTATATACTTGGCAGCAAACTAATCTGTATGTGCAGCTGCTCTGGTGTTCAGCCAGCAACGACTCGAATTTCATACTTATGAATGTATTTAATCTGACAGTTATTTTTATCGGTATAATTTGGAGAGTTTAACGACGGGGTTTGTTGTTAAAGGTTGCCTAGCTTGATTTGAATTTGTGATATAAGGCTAAATAAATAAAACTGACCTGTCAAGCCGGCGTTTAGAAGCCCTGTTGTCGGAGCTCACTCGGAGCACTTGAAGGCAGCACTAACTTGCGCTAGCATGCTAACAGTGGCTAATGCTAGCAGGTTAGCTTTAGCTCTGACGTTCGGCATGTGTTCACCAACTCTGGGCTCCATGACAGACAACAAGTCAGCGACCTGCCTCACTTCAGCTAAAGTTTCTGTCACACCGTGGGCTGAACACCTGACTGTTACTCACAGGAAACGCACTTCCACCGACCTTGTCAACTCAGACTGCGCTGTTTCCATCTAGTTACCTTGTCCAGATGCTTTGTCAACAGTAACTCAAGACACCGCCTTCCCAAACACAGCCCTCCCAGCTTCACTTGTTAGCATTATGTAGCATGGACGGCTGTAGCAGCTGTTAGCCCTCTTCTTCTTCTTCGTGACACTATAAACATGTTGTTTGCAACAGCGCCGCCTGCCGCTCTGGAACATGAAACACATATTTTAATGTATTTAAATACATATTTTAATGTATTTACAGTCTATGTACACTAATCAGCACAAGAAGTCATTTTAATTTTCCAAGCCTAAAAAAAGATTTAATCCCTTACCTTTCCTGTACCAAAGCTTTGTGGTTTAACATCACCAGTGTAGATTATTATATCTAATATTGTTGTAATTTAGTTTTTATCATCATCATCTGCAACAAAGAATATTTAGTTATTTTGTCTGTTCTCT